ATAATGCAGCACTGTAATCTGCTTAAAACTCTTACTCCTAGTGCTTATATTACTTTCTTGTGATACTAAAAATAGCTTTTTTGATTTTTTTTTATGGATCAGAACAACTAGACATTCAATTATTATTAAAGTAAAAAAAAATACTGGCCTTTACACAAAGCTACAAAGAACATGCTGCTTTTTTCATTACGCAACATTGACGAGGGAAAAACAGACTTTGTTTAAAAAAAGTTGGAAGGAGATCTGGATTTGAAATTTGGGAAGGGAACAGAACCAAAAAGAGAGACAGAGTGAAAATAGATGTCTGGGTCTCCGAAAGTTGGTCAGTTATTATAAAGCCATTGTGGTCAGAGAGTACGTTTATACAGATCCCTCTGAGTCACGCTCAATAAGTCAGCCCTTATGGGCCTGGCACTGCCATCACCCAGTGAAGGAAGAAGCAGAAGAGTACACAGGGACCTGGCTCGCATCCTTCACACACCACCTCCTCCTTCTCCTCCTCTTCCTCTCAGACACTCAGACTTAACTTTAACAATGTACACGCAGACACTGCCGTCCCAATCACAACCCTCTGCAGGGTGATCCTATGCCAAACAAGGAAGGAAAAGCCAGGTGGGCGGAAGGGCAGGATGGATGGAATGATGGAGCCAGCAGGAAGAACAAAAGGCTGGTGCATGACTGTAGGCAAAGCACAAAGGGGGGTAATGATGGGTGTGTGCTAAATGATGAATAAGAGAGAGTGAAGCTTTGAGGGGTGTAATGAGCAGGTCAGTGTTGGTCCATGCAGGATCTGAACTGGGAAAATGAGCCAATTCATATAACATCAGCTAAAAATAGTTTTCTATGTGCCACACATAATACCAGAAAAGAGAAAACCACACTGACATGTCTGCAGATTTCCTCTTTTTGATCTTTGCATAACCAGTAAGTACAGAATCAGCTTCCATGACTTGTGTGACTCCTTAAGAAAACAACTGTTTGGTTTTTTTAAGTTTTTCTCTTCTCTTATAAGATATCTGAGCTATAAACACAAGCACAACATTAGACATAAATAAAGAAAAGAAAAACAGATTAGTTAAAATCTTAAACCCATTAGTTGTTACTTACTCTTTATTGGATTATCGCTAATCTGAAGAGTTTGTCACAGTAAAAAAAAATCTTAACTGTGACAAACTCTTCAGATTATTAATGAATGCCACTGCGCTCCTGCACAATGTTTAAGCCTACACCATTTTTTGCAAACACTTTACTTTAAATGTTGTTTTTCTACATGATATTTATGTGGTTCTCCATTGTGTCATATTTTAAAGCTATCATTACAAAATATGTATACAAAATATACTGAGATGTATGGTTAACATATTTTTTGAGAAAATGCGTAAATATAGAAAGACAACTTTGACAAATCTCCATAAGTAAATATCTTACAGTTAGAGTATGTGACTCTGCGTTAGAAACGTTTTTTATTCCAACTTACCTGTGATATTTTTTATGATATCAATTAAATGACTTACCACTTTGGAAAAACATTTCAGTGCTCTGGGTGCCCCCAAGTGGTCAGACAATTATTTGCCAAATGAATCAGATGGCAGTTAAACTGTTTAGTCCTCTCTTACAGTTTCAAGCATCCAGCACACGGAGGTGAGTGAAGTGTTTGGACAGTATCCAATAAGATCAAGCAACCATACTGAAGTTGGAAAAGGAATGCGGTGATGCTTATATGGAGCAATTTTTGTATGTATCCAAACATTTTAGGGCAGATTTGCTTATCTGGTAATTAAATGATCCATACTACAATGCAAATGCAGTGCAAAGCAATGGAGGAGCATTACATCCTGGGGGTGCACATCACAGACAACCCCACTTGGACTATGAACACAACCTCACTGTTCAAAAGGGCACAGAAGCTCTTGTACTTCATTCGGAGCATGAAGAGAGCCCACCTGCCCCCACACATCCTCACAACCTTCTACAGAAGCACCATAGAGAGCGTTCTGACCAGCTGTCTCACTGTGTGGTGTGGAGGCTGCAGCGCCTCAGACTGGAAGAATGTGAGACGAGTGGTGAGAAAAGCAGAGAGGATCATCAGGGCTGCTCTTCCCTCCATTAAAAACATTTCACCACAGCCCCTCACACCCCCATCATGGACTGTTCTCCCTGCAGCCCTCTAGGAAGAGGCTTTGCAGCATCCGATGCAGGGGCAGTAGATTCTGCAACAGCTTTTTCCCCACTGCCATCAGACAGCGGAACTCTTGAAAAAAACTATAAATCAAGTCACAGACTCTGCATCACATTGATAACACCAAACCAAAAAGAACTCAACTCAAAAAATGTTTTTCTACTGCATTTTTGTACCATATATATTTTTCTTACTTTCTGAAAGCTGTACAAAACTAAATTTCCTTTTTTTATACACTGTGTGCATACAAACTTACAATAAAATTTGTTTAAGTCTACTTTCAAATACAGAAACGAAGGACTAATTCAATGGTATCAAGGGAATTTAAACATGAAAAATGGTGCAATTGGTCTACCTGATCCCTGAATTTACTAAGGAGCAGTAAAACAAATAGCAGCTTAAATCCACCGGAGGTCATCCATTAGGCGGCAGCTGAAGCCTTTTTTTTTTTTTTCCTAGAAGTAGTCTGTTCACCTTTTATTTCTTGGAAAAAATAAAAAGGTTACTTATTATTTTATCTGTGACTTTGTTCTTTAAAAAATGTAGATGCAGAGAAAAAAAAACAGTACAGTAAATCATTGAATGTCTATAACCCCTCAACTGTACCCATGCCCTGCCTTCCTACTCCCTTCACAGCACTGTCACCCTAGATGATTCACACAGCCTCGTGTTTGCAAAGTTCCCGGTCATAAATCTCTGCAACACACCTTAAAGGCACATCCTCTTGGATAGATTTACCACAACATGTCTGCTTCCCTCACAAAAGGGCGGCAGGACAAGGCACACTACTGCCCTACAGAAACCGACCCACAGGAGAACCATAACTTTTACTGGTCAAAAATTCATGGGATAGTTTGCTAGAAGAAATTCAAATGAAGACCAGATAATTTTTCAGGATCTTTATAGCAGATATTTATATATACAACAAAAAAATAAATTTTTGAAAGGTAGTCATTTAAAGGTAGACATTTAAAAGTTAATCAATCTTTGAAAAGTGGTCCTTATGAAAAGAAAGTGGTGTATTTCCATTTTAGCATTTTAGTCTGAGTAGCTGCTTCTGCTGCAGTGCATTATGAGCTAATAAGCATCTGACCCGTAGGAAGTGCTTCAGAACAGCAGCTGCTACAGTTGGAAAAATGTAACTTTTGCTGCTAGATGCGCCACATCAACCAATCAGATAAGCTAATCTAGGAGCTGGCAGGGAGACTGACAGCACTGCTGATGCAGATGTCTATGTTCGCTCCTCTGAAACTGTATATTAATGCCTAAATTAACCAAAAATGTTGAAACCTGCTTCGATTTTATTATTCTGGTGCCTGCAGTTTGGATTACGTGTGTGAAAAAGCTAAGATCTATTTCCAGCCGTCACGAACACTAGCAGAAAACTGTGAAGAGGCAACTGGGCCAGGGGCTGCTGTTGAATGGGATTCCTAGTGACAGAGCACCACCGGTGTACGGGGGTGTGAGCGGCTCCGACAGCAAAATAAGATTTGAAGGCAGGATCGTAATCTTGATTAACTGACTGCACAGATGAAGTTTTTAGGTGGACTTTCTCACTTAAAAACATATTAAAACTACTTTTTACCCACTGATTACAGCAAATATAGCTCTCATTATTACATGCAAAGAAAGGATAAGGTAGCTCTGCCCAACGTGCATCAGACACACTTTTCGACAGTGCAGCTAGAGCAGCAAAGATGCTTCAGCCACACATCAGAACTAAACTTGTACAAGCATCAGAAATTAAGCAGCATTCCCGTTTTTGATGCTCCTGCTGCTTGCATTGTAAACGTAGCATTATTCTATCAGGGTTATAAATACATTTGGGCTGAATTTACAACTAACAGACTGCAGGTAATGTGTTTAAACGTGAGCATGCAAGGTTAGGATCGATGGGAGGGAATGCACATCTTGTGTTACAGTGTCAAGGCCTGATTCTGGAAAGGTATGTCCCATTGGTCAATGAAGCACTGAAGTGATAAAATAACGTGGCTGTGAGGGGAGGGGTGAGGACCTTTTTGTTTATCTAAAGTATTGTCTGTTAAGGGTTTAGCTGAACTATGAGTAATAATACTTGATTTGGTGACTCAAATGTTTGCTGGAATAAGTTCTCTGGAATCCAGCCTCATAAAATTGGCTGATGATATTTATTTGTCCCACAAGCCTTCATCCACCACCTTTTCTATACAAAATTGAGGCAATTGTACTTCAGCAAACTTGCACATGCTTGATCCCTTCGCTGTTTTGATTTTTCTTCTTGTCTTTTAAATGAGCTGGCCATGGGTGGCCTCGGTTTGCTGCTCCACAGACAAGAAAATCTAAACCAGTGACAGCCTGTTTGTTTTCTTTACCTCACCAACAGCACCCCCACCAAAAACTACCGCCATCAAACAAGCTCCATGCATACACTCCCCTGCTGCCACATCCACCGCGCCACACACACTCACCCAGACCACATTCTTACATCCCTACCCCCCACACGCTTCCACAACACACACCCACAAACACACCTGACCGACTTCATTTCCTGTGAGGCATGAGTCAGACGACTGCAGTGCATTTACCGGAGTAATACATGGTTATTAGCCATTCTGATAATATAGTGTTGATGTGGCTGTCAAGGCAACTGAGTAGGAAAAAAAGGGGGGATTGTGCATGTGTGGGTGGTTGGGATGAGTCTTTGAAGATTCTTTGGAAGTGTTCAGGCATGTGGTGGGTTTACTTGCATGTCCACAGGTGTGTGTCGGGGTGTGCATGTTTGTGTGTGAGTGGTTTGTGTAGTAGGAAAAGCGGATATGGAATGGCAGGGAGAGCCCCTCACCTGTTTTTTCTTGTAGAAGCCCTTTTTGTCACAGTTAGGTAAGCGGAAGCCTCTAGGGTTGAGCACGTTGTTGATCTTCAAGCTGTTCATGATGCTATCTATCTCTCGTCGGCATGGCCCCTAAAGAAAAACAGCAAAAACACCAACATAGAGGTTAGAGAAACAGAGAGTATCAAACATACAACTTTTAGGGTTTATGTTGAGCAATAAAGCCTTATGAATGACCTTGTAACATCACCTAATCTTAGTTTTACTCTTTGATCCAAAACAACCCCCAAAAATCCAAAACATCCTTTTTTCTAGTTGTACTAAGGAGTCTTTATAAGTAGTGATTATGGTGCAGAATGAACTGTCTGGTGGGTCCAGGTTAAGGAGGTCATGCCCCAAAATGAGATATCAACTCTAAAAAAGTGGTACCTTCTGTTTCAAAATATTTGTAATCAAAGCTAATTGTACCTAAACAACAGTGAAAAAAAAAACTCCATAAAGTTAGCCTTTGAACTTTTATCCACAAATTTGAGAGCTCAGCAATGTTTGGCATTGTTTGTATGTTTTTTTTTTTACTAAACTCGCATTAGGCTCTGCTTGCATACCACCTACGTGTTGACTGTGGCACAATGTTCTTCAGTTGTAGATGGCAAAGGTATAACAAAGACCAACTGTTAATTTGGTCATTCAGAGGACAGCATTTATGACATACCCGGTATTATTATACCTAATTTTCATCAAGCCCCTCTACTTCATATACTGTGGGACAGACTTTTTAAATAAATACATGCTTAGTGATAGTATTTTTCAACAAAGAAGATTTGCACAGTGGAATCCAACACCCGGTGTGCTTGAAGGCAAATTGTAGCTAGTCAATGGGCAGTAAATTTCCATACTGTATGGACTTAAAAGAGACTTACAAAGACCTCCTCACCGAGATTGCTCAGACTGTGATCATGTTTCAGACCAACACAGACACAGAAATATTTAAATATAATCACAATGATGCCACATGGAAAAAAATCCACAATGACTAATATATTTTGTCATCATCTGTGTAGGCCATGGTGGTTATCAAAACCTAACACTCAAGCAAACCAGAAAAAAATATATTTTAGGTATCCTTCAGGTTGCAAAGAACTGACTTCCACACACTTGGTCTGTTATCTGAGCAAATATCAGCCTGGCCATTCTTATTCCCAATTTAGTCCAAGGAAATAAATAAAAAATGTTGCTTTCTTGCCCATATGTTCTCCTGTCCAAATGTAGCTTAAAAAAGAAAAAGCAGCAACAACAAAATTAGATAGTGATGGTTAGCTGTTGTCAACCCTCTTAACTTTGCAACTTCGTTTAACATTGATTAGTAATTTTTAAGGAAGTAATGACATGGTCTTATCTGTCTTTTAAACATGATTTCTTTAAAGGAAAACAGTCCATTAATAAAATTATTCAAAAGGGATTATAAACATTCTGTTGTCAATCTGGACTATAGATGGCTGCAAAGCTAAAGTTAGGTCAAATATGCGATTTTTTTATTCTAGCAAAATGCTGGGCAACTGTAGGCTACAAGCATAAGCTAAAGCTGTAAAATTGTATATCCAAAAAAGTTAACAAACACACCACTGGACTTTGTTTTCAAAAGTCCATTGGTTTCTTTTTTTTTCTCAACTCTTTTAACCTTTCTTGGCATGACTATGACCTGGATGACTGAGAATCTTACCCAGAAAAATTGTGAATTGTAAATTCCTTTATCGCCCCATAATGGGGAAATTCACTCTCTGCATTTATCCCATCCCCTTGGGGAGCAGTGGGCTGCCATTCTGTGGCACCTGGGGAGCAGTCTGGGGTTAAAGGTCTTGCTCAGGGACCCAGAGTGGTAGTGCTCATAATGCTGTCTAATAGATCTACAGGAAAATGGAGAGGTTCAGGTATCTTGGGGTCCTGTTCATGTGTGAGGGGAGCATATAGCAGGAGCCCAACAGATGAACAGAACAACAGAGCTGGTGGAGATATCTGCTGAGAGGGATGTCTGTGAGTCTTTGCTAAAACTTCTGCCCCCCGCAGCATCTACATCTACAGCTACCTGTGTCTGCTGACCTTCACTTTTTGTTTGACAGAAGCTCCAGCATCTGCCTTGTACTGCTTCAGTCATATTGTCACCAATAACATTTGCTATCTTGCCCAGGCATTTATGTCCCTGGGAATTTCCCACATTCCATTACATTAGGTTACAGACACAAAATGCAATGTATTTCATTGGGGTTGGATATGATTAACTAATACAGCATGGTGCTAGAGAAGAATTTATTAACAAAATGAAACACATTTTTTTTCCCTTTCCAAAGAAATATCTGAAAACTAGGAAGTTGCTTTTTAACTTCGGTACTTTAGCTGAATACTTTTCAGAAGCGATTTTGCTGCAATTATATCTTTAAGTGTCTTTGCAAATCTAAAGAACGACATTTTAGTAGGTTCTTGCAGGCACAACAGTTCTTTCAGATCGAGGTTGAAATTTGACAATATCAAATGTCTGCTTTATCCTCCAATTAGGCTTTAGTCATACTTTGACAAGGTCAATTAAACAGAAGAATCTGCTTTGATCTGGATATATGTCTGTCTGTATGTTCAGGGCCATTGCCTCAAGTCTTTTGCAGCGTCTTGAAGTTTTATTTTCCATACACTAAAACCCTTCCATCTTCACAAAACCTCTAACCAGACTTTTTGTGACTAAAAGCCACTCCACAACATAATACTTCCTTCACCCTATGTCCTCCAGTTATTATTTTCTGCCGTACATCATGTTTCATGCTGGTCAGCATATTCAATTCTGAGTATTGCCCCAGATTCTCTTAACCTCTTACACCCTAAGGGGGTATAAATAAATTTCTGCCTGACAAAAACACACAAAAGTAAATCACTTATAGCCTCACAGCTATTAGATTTAAGAAGAAACTTTTGGTACGTCTGTAAAGGTAAGATGTCATTGAATGGTTTTCTGGTGTCAGCACCATTGTAGCTTTGACCCTGCCTGAAATATTAGGGACAAAATACTAAATATTTTGCATTTTTTGAACCTCGCCAAAATTTTCTTTGAAATAAACATTGCAAAACACTACCAAAATATTATTTATAGCACAAAAAAGTAGTACAGACTTTTAAATCTAAATGTTGTGTAAAAATATACCAAATTTGGACTCAATCAGATGAATTATATTTATTTTAGAATGGTATTAGTGAGAAATTTCTTAGGCGGAGAGGCCATTTTGGCACATTTATCCAAAAATGTCACCAAACTGTGCCAAATGTATTTTTTACATCAATACTGGGGGTTTGTTAAAATTACGAGGTCACGTAGCAGCTGGACCCACCGGTGGGTCCGTAGGGTTCTAGGGGTTAACATTAATTGTATCCAATATCTGCCAAAAATGAACTTGGTGCAATTTCATTTTGCCAAAAATCAAATGAAATGTAAACTGACTAAAAACAAAGTAACTATGTTATTAAAAAAAGCCATCCCCCTGCCATATTTGATCTACATCTCTACCACATTACACATTGATTAGACCATAAATTGCTTTGCTTGGTGTTTATTTGTCTTTGAAAGTAGGCATTTATCTGAAAATGTATGTGAGGCATATTTAAACTGCGAGGTAGCTTTTTATAGGTGTGTATTGAAATGTAATGTGTTATCTAATGAGCTGTGCAGAACCCACAGTGACCGCAGAGCTAATTTTTAATTACTTCTGTCTATGTTTTTATCATCCCAAACACATATTTCACCACATAAAGTGTTATTGCCTCTGGGTGTGACTTACATACTCAGTCTCCCTCTTGTTCTCCAGGGAAAAGTTGTGCATGTCTTTATTGGCTCCTCCCAACACAGGTTCCACTTTGTAGCTCTGTGTCTTCTTGTTCTCTGCCTTTTGGATCAGTTTGTTGTGGAGTGGGGGCCTCGTGTTCATTGACCCTGGGTTGCTCCCGTCGTTCACAGTTGCCTCAGCAGGCAAAACCGTCACGGTCTCAGTCATGTTGGTGCCTTCAGCCACCTGATTTCCTGCATTTTCTGAAAAGATCAGTTAAAATTAGAACAGTCAAACTGATGTCAATTCTTTCTTTTGGCAATGTTCAGAGGTATCTGGAAAAGGTTATGCGATATATTACAAAACATGTGCTTGTTTAATTAAAAACTTGTCATATTTGCCTCAAATGTTGCTCTATCACATGAGGTTCTAGAAAAGGAAAATCAGTTGGAAAATTCTAACAATGTATTTCCTTTAAAAAGAATTTAATTTACCTCTAAACCAAAATCAAACTTTTTCAATCTTATTATGTAAACCAGCTAATGATTTCATTCTGTATAAGCAACATTTTAGTGCAGTAGATAAAGGAGGAACTAAAAAGGTACCAGGGAATATATATAGTAAGAAGTGAACACTAATGTGTTTGTAAAAAGATTAGGAATGAAAAAGTTGACAATAAGTCAACACATCAAAAGTAACTGGGCTGGTATTGTTTCATTTTAACATGTCAAAGATGAGCAAAATAAAAAACGGGCCACTCCTCCCATAAGTGATCTGCACCAAACTACCCACGATCTGCCCCCTGACTGACCACATCATCACACAGTAAAGTGGGCAATGGAAAAGCACACCAGAACCCTGAAGACTGTTTCTAACTCAAAGCAGATTTAATGTGCGCGAGCTGTGGTGAGGGCGGTGGACAAGCATGTGGGTGTGTAGCTCATGTGGGTAGCCAGGCTGGCAATCCACCCTTCCAGTTTTTACGTGGCTACCTGATCAATTTGCAAGCCAGTGCTGCTGAAGAATAATAATAAAAAAAAGACTGAGAATTGTAAAATTTATGTCAACAAAACCCTCCCTAGAAAAAGTCTGTTTGATCTCAAACATCAATGACGTTAGAAACATTTCCTGAGTTTACCATTTCAGCCAGAATTAATTGTATCCTCAAAATAAATAACATTTTTAAGGACAACAGAGGCATTTTGGATAAACACATTACGCAATTTGTTTGTATACTGGCATTGGAGTAAACAGCACAAACTGTGGTCAGGGGAGCTTGTTAATGTCTGGGAGGAGAAGCTGCTCTGGAAATTGAAACCAATGGGGGTGGTAACCACTGAGCTACAATGGCATAATCTTACCAACAGGGGTGCTTAAAGCCATCAAAATGTTTGGAGATACTGGTAGTACTGTGATTACACATACGATTCTTTCATACTACAATATGCGATTTTGATCAAATGATAAAAAGGGTTAAAAAACAGAGATAAAGTCGAATGCAACACAGTTCTAAGTGTTTGGGTTTTCATACCAGACACATACAAAGCAGTAAGCACACACAGGGTTATATTGACACCAGAAAATACTGTAAGAGTATGTCATTTCATCAATCTGAGCAGTATTCACTCTGATCACCATACACAGGGTACTACCTAAAGTGGCTTTCAAGTTGTTCATTGATACCGGACTGTGATTTCTGAGTTTCAGCTTGTTTATATAGTCTAACCAACCCCCACCTCATTTTATTCATCCCTAGACACCTGATCTATACTGGCCCCCACCCTTGTCTATGGAAGGGTGCCATACCTATTTGCATGCACTGTAAAGGAGCCAATCCATTAGGAAAAAGTAAATGAGGAACTATCACAAGAAGAAGAGGAGTCCTGCAGTCTTAATGCTGCATTTTACTCTTGGCAAAGGGGTTAACATATATATGCCATTTACTTGATGCCTTTGTTGGAGGCAGGTGTGCATTAAAGGTTATTCTTGGAAAGGCAGGCTTTTTTTTAAATTAAATTATGATTTACAACAAATTAGCAGCATTAATGAAAACATGTTTTCTATATAGATAATATAATGTCTAAAAAGATTTTATTAGCTTAATGGAAATGTTTGGTTTCTAAGATTCACATATAGAAAATATTACTATTTTCAGTGTGGTCATTTAATTTTGCCTGATTGTTCACCACTTACAAGAATAACATTTTCTAAATGTGGTCTGTGGCCAGCTAAAAACTTGAAGAAGATTTCTGGATTGTGGCAGATTGAAGAAGGGCTTGAAAGCTTCAAGTTTAAGCTTTAACATTTTAAGTTTAAACTTGTTTAAAGTTGATTGCCTGAAATCTTATTTATAAATGCAGACTGACCAACTCTATTTTGGTTTATCTGATAACGGGCCCAAATACAAACATTTGTTTCCTTTTTGTTTTTGTTCTCCTCAGCAGCATGCACTTTACAGAGGTTACTTTATAATTTAAAAAATTCTGAGGAATTCAGTATCCAATTATCAATCATTGTCCATAGGTTAAGGGGGTATTTAGGTTAATCAAAATATTAGAATATATATAGCAAGAAATCTGGTCAGGGGTGTTATATAGAAAAATATCAGGACCCAACGGATTTTCAAAAATATGCGTAAATCCGCGGCTGCATTTATTATCTACAATTTACTTTCAGTTCTGGTGTTATTAATTTCAACTTCCAATAACCCTCTAATTAGAAAATATTTTATTATTGTAGCCACTACATTGGCAGCAAAACATTGCACCTTTGCGCATGTTTCAATGTGTCATTGACCTTAAGAAGATCATGCTCAACTTTACGCACTTAATCTGTTTCCATAAAGGGGGAGCGCCTGATCGCTGCATCCCCTTTATAGAGAGGGCGACTGTCAATATTACCCACACAGACACACAAGGGGAAAAAGTAAGACAAATGCGCAAATGGAAAGCACCACTTTCTACCTTGTTTTTGCGCCGGCTTAGGATTGTTGTTGATTTTTTTTGTTGCGCTGGTGCATACCCCTCGTCCTTCCAACAGAGCTTGCAAAGGACGGATCTCTCCGGGCTGATGCTTGCAGGTCAAGCCGGAGCCGCAGCGCGCAGTGTACACTCCACAAGCCTGTCCCTCGCCGAGGGCGCACGTTATACAGCAGCCGCACCCGGGCTCCCTCACGGTCTCCGCGCAGTCCTTCGGCAGCGATTTGCACTTCTGCAGCGCGCTGGCGTCGCAAGGCTCACATCGCACCACCGGTCCTACGGAGCCGGTGAACCGGGCGAGCGCAGCCAGGGCGACGGCAAGACAAAGGGCACTGAGACTGGGCATTATAGTGATTAAGCTTGTCACAAAGGGACGGTGTGGGAGTTGTCACGGGGGCTTAAAGGGACTCTCTGTGACACAGCGAACCGACTGGCCTTCTCCATCTGTGTTTCCTTTTGCGCAAACTTGTCGCTTTATACAGGCAGGGGGAAAAAGCCAGCAAGTCACACCCTCGCCCGTATGAATAATGTAAGCGGAGGGGCTCAACATGAGGAGCCGCGACGTTGTGGCTCAAACGAGCGCAGCGCAAACTTTACTTCCTCTGCCAGGCGCGCATGTGCAGCGTTCCACCAAGGAAACTCACAGAGATGGCAACTTAAAGAGTTTCAAACTAGGATCCAGAAAATATTTTTCTTTGATTCAGTCATGGGCGGTTTTAGATATGGGCAAACAGGGGCCTGGGCCCCTTTAGAATTGATCCTGGCCCCATTTTATGGACCCTAGGCTGTACCAAAGACATAATACATTTCTGATGAAAAACTTATTTTATAAACTGAAAGAGAAAGCTCAGCTGGTAGGTCCAAGAACTATTTAATGTGTTTATTTTTAACAGTTTTACTGATTAAAACATGAAGCTGCTGCACTTTAAGTTAGATAAGATCACCATTCTCAATATTCTCAATAAACAATAAGTAAAAGAGACACTTGTGGCATAAATCCCATCTAATGCCTCGATGCCCTGCATTTGATTTCCACCCAATTTAATTTCAGACATGTGACAGGAGAAAATGTATCCAAAGAATCAAACCTTTACCTCAATGTTCGTGACTTTGAGGTAACGTTTGGAGAGCAACAACTGTACCTCATTTAATAACATGCGGTTGTCCAAATCCTGCAAATGCAAAGTGGCCCCCAACCATCATATCACTACCAGCATGTCTGATTATGTTTTTTTTTTTTTTTGTTTATTTAGTTTTAGTTTTATGCCAGATGTAACATGCTTCATACCTTTCCTACAAAGTCCACTAGTGTCTCTTTACCCCACTAGGTTAAAAAGTGTAGAAAGAGTGAATATCTTAGCAGGGTTGAAGGGACAAATATAGCCTCACATAGGAGTAACTCCCAGATTCCATATCCTCCCTCTCTGCTTCACTCACGTATGTTGTGCAGAGTACTTGCCAGTCATATGAATCAATGAGAACTGTTCCACATCCACCTACTCCTCCTCATGTCACCGTCCACATATGTCTTCTTCGCCTTTCACTGTCAGAATACGGAGCCAAGCTATTTTTTGCTCCACTCCGGTACGGCCAGGTCAAGATCCACTATTGCAATCTCACCAAACAGGAAAAACAACGTTGAGAAGATCTGGTTTGTGAAATTAAAATATGGTATTGACAGACTGGTAAGAACAAATTACTATAGAGTATAATTCTTATATATTCACAAAAATGAACCCTGTTTATTTAAATAAATATATGCAAACTATTGGTACATCCACATAACAGGAAGCAGATTTCACACCTCGATCAAAATATTAATTTTAAACTGAGAGGCTTAAAAGTTTCATCAAATCCAATTACAACAACTTCCAAAAGCGCATCTCACCAATTCAGAACAAACCTGTTATCTCAGGCATGGAGGAAGAGATGCTGATTTTGGAAGTAGAGAACAAACCAATTTATCCCTATTAAAAAGATCCACAACGAAAAGAAAATGTTTGGGCAGAAGCATGTATGATTCATGCTGATGACAAGTCTTAATTATGTCTTATGAAATAATAATGTTGCCCATGCTCTCCTTGAGCTCCAAGGAAGTTGACGAGAGTAACCGCAGAGACTGTAGGCTTTGCTTTGCACAGGCGCTCTAGAGCGGAGCAGAGGATGTGGGATTTGGGTTAGGAGATACTAGTGGAGTAAGGATACATCAATAAATGTTTTTAGAAAAAGCTTGTAATTTGTTAACAACTGTCATAAATGTTCATAAAATCATTATAGACAGATTTTTTTAGACTTTTTTTTAGAATACAGTGTTATCTGATTGTATGAGTCAATTAATGTTTACCCAAAACCAAGTCTCTATTATTCTGTGATTAAATGTGCAATTTTTTTTTTTATTTCAGAACTGTGATATGTGATCAATATTACCAAGTTTGTGTGACTGCAACTGCAGTAATTACACTATAGAGGAGCAAAATTTGTGATGCTTTATTAACTTCATGTATTAAGAATCATCAAATTAGTTGGGGTATCTGATTAATATATAAACATGGCTTTCATTAGAAATATATTTTATAATCTTTTATATTAAAAACTTCAGAATTACAGTGACCGGATCTTGAAATGATGATCAATAATCATGGCGAAGTAATTTCTTGAATTGAAAAATGTGTTTTTCTGGTGGTTAAATGGATATTTGTTAATAATCTCACTTTTATATTGCCTGAAATCAATGACTGTGTTATTATTAGTATTTTTTTTTGATGCCACTAATAATCAGATACATGTTCATAAGCAAAAAATTTTTAATTGTTCTTTAAAAATAAGGCTGGTCACCCATTTGCGTACGTACTGCCATGGCATTCTTCCATCTTGAAAGTAAAGATGCCGCTGAGGGATAAAATGATACAACACATTTGCCCTTGCTGGCAGTTCAGTGTGACTAAGAGGTGGATGTGAAGACCATTGTCTGCACTGCTACAGTACAGTGCAGGACCTTGCATATGCAGCAGCTGCACAAGAAGCTGTTTTCCCATCCCCACAAAAGTAAAAATTAAGAGCAAGAAAACCGGAGACATAAAAAAAGAGGATAAACATTGGACAAGCCTTCTGAAGGTTAAAGGAGCTAATATAGGAAAAATATTTTTAAAAGGGTCGCTGAAGTTACCATGTTTTTCATTGACAATAAGTGAACTGTACTGCCGAATTTAGCAGAAAGCTAACTTTCCATTTGGTTTTATTAGAACGTGTTTCTTGTTACCATATCAAGCACTATAGTAGATCCTGCGAACATATGCTAATCTTGTTTATACAAAATTGTAGGTTTACGTGAGTTTAGTAGCTTCTTTAGACAGACTTAGACAACTTTTATTGTGTATTCATTTTGTATATACAGAGGGTATATAGCTTTCAGACAGTGAATGAGTGAACAGTGAATGAGCATCAGCTTAGCAGTGAGTTGAACATTTCCATTTCATAAAGTGCAACAGTGATCAGCTGTAAACAGTATGGGAGAAAAAACAACATGGTGCAAAAAGGCATTGATATGGAAATTCAGATCATTTCAAGACAAATATTTATGGTGCAAATATGCAGTATTATAGCTTGGTGTTATCAGTGTAATGCAGAGTCTGTGACTTGATTTAGAGTTTTTTCAACAGTATAGTGTGTTGAATGCCCTCTTTTTGTCACAGTAAATGCAAGCTTGAAGAAACTTCACTTCAGATGATATAGTTATATCAGCATCATCAAGGCTTTTTGACACATGGCGGCTACCGTTGCCACAAAACCTGTTTGAAGCAGTGAAACGTTAGGGTATAGTGTTTGTTTGAGTGAGATACCTGCATTTTCTCTCTAGATGCACATTGTCCCTTTAAATATTTCTTTATCATGTGGAATAACATTGGTAAAAGAAATTGAAAACGCTGAAGTCCAATTCCATCTTATGCAACGACTCATATTCTGAGAAGACCATGTGAGCATTTCCTCTCCTCCTTATTATCACCTCATACCTTGCATCCTGAGTTTCAAGCATCCAGATCCCCAAAATACATTTCACAACATAACTGGCCCAAAAGTTTTACTGGTTTTTTTTCACCAAAAATGCTTAGATTGTGCAGGCTCAGCACTGCTATCATTCTCCCAGACTATCAGCCCTGTGCTGCAAAAACAAACACAAGAGTGGGGTACATACTGAGAAAATAAATCAATCTGTACCAGCCATTGTATGAATTCTACCAAAGCTGCAGAAAAAAAGCATTGAGATTACATTAGAAAAACCTAGTAGAGAATAAGGAAACAACTCAAGAAGAGTGAGAAAAGTCAGAGATTAGTTTTGGTATTACCATTTTTACCTCCTCCAGGATTTTTAAGTTTCTTGTATATTTGCAGTCTGACCTCCGGCTTGTTTATCATCTACACGTCTGTCAGGACTTTATTTATCTGAACCACCTAAGTGGTTCAACTAATTCAGAAAAAATATAGCTAAGTTTGTTGTTTGGAGTAAGAGTAAATACTGTTTCTTCCTAGTTTGTTGTGCTATACAATACACTTTATGTGATGTTGGAGTGGTGACGTGGCAAATGTAGAAGCTGACTGGCAATGATTTGCCTTCTTACAGCTTTATGACAAATAATAGGTAGAATGAGCACTTGCTTTTTATTTGATATTATTATTTAAATATCAAGCTAAAATGTAATATATCAAGTTACTCTAGGAAAGCAGAGGTCAAATAAAATATATTAAAGGGTTTTGCTTTGTTGTTTCACATCCTATCTCAAATTTGCCCCTTCTTCATTGTTCTCACTTTTTAAGAAACCCGGTTTATAAAAACAATGTAACTATTTTCCTTCATATTTCTGTTATGATTTGTGCGACGATTAATCTTTATGACTCGCGAAAAGGCTTGTTAAACCCTAAAATGCCACAGTTGTTAAATGTAATAGATTAGTTTACTTCCAAATTAATTATAGTTTTTCCTACCCATAATATAATGTTGTATGGTACAGATTGCAATGATTTGTTTATTCTCTCTCAGGAGTCAGATTAGTTGAAGCAGAAATCTCTTTTTGTCAGGATAAAAGCCAGCATCATTCTATAAGTTACAAGGTCAGGGGAAATAGGAGATACAGAGCAACATTAACAGATATAATAGTCTAGATATAATAAATAATAAATTTGCACAGTCATGATAAAAGGAACCCACCTCTTTAATCCTGCCTGTAAGAGCAGCGGACCATTTAAATATGACTAGACTTTAATTAATGACACACCCTGTAAGACAGACATCCACCTGCTGTGACACATAACTTTACCCATATTGCTGAAAGGGAAATGTTTTTCTTGGCTCATCTCCATCCTTTTGACGTCAATGACAACATAAGCCATATGTCTGTAAAACTCTGCATACCATTTCTTTATTGCAAGGCAACAGTGATTACTAACTGAGCAACCCACATATTAATACATTTACAGTGAATTTACAATCATTGCACAATTACCATACTCACACACCCTAATACACAACTCTCAGGT